ATATAGTTAAATGATGCCTAGAGCTATAGTTTTCACATAAAAAATCAGTTTTATGCTGCAATCTGACCATGAGTTGCTAATTGACAGAAAATGAACTTCCCAGACTCTGGAAAAGATATTGAACCCGTGCCAGTGCAGGGCAGGAAATCACTTGGGCATTGGGATATACAGCGCTCAAAAGTAGTGCTGAGTAGATTCTCACTGTCACCTGAACAAGAAAACTATGATGGCAGGGACAAACACTGCAAACTTACAGCTTTTGAATCTGTCCACATCAAAACAACTTCACACTGAAGAGAATAAACTGTACATATTGTCTTGAGAAGGCTGGGACATGCTGGCGGAGGCAAGCAGCACTTACTTAGCACAGGTGTCAGGAGAGTTGGAAGGGCTGGTATTACCTGTGGGGCTGAGGGTGAGGGAAGGGAAGAGTGGACCAGAGACTACTATGCCCCAACCCCTGCCATTTGGATGAACTTCCCAGTGTATAAAGAGCTCCACACACACTTTCTTGTGCTTCCCCTCACCAGGCCTAGGAGGCAGTGGGAGAAAGGACTGATGTGTCCTCTGCAGCTGTTGATACTCTACTCCAGGACAAAGGCTGTATAGCCCACAGGCACTACTGTCCAGTGTGCCAATCTGGCTAGGTGCTAATGATCTTGGCAGAACAGAGGGCTCACCATTCTTCAAGGTGGACAACAGATGAGATCCAATTACGATAGTACTGTAGCTTTTCTTACGCTTCCAGATTTTTTAAAAAGCCCTTTGCTGGTGTTCTTCCTCTTAGTCTTAGGAGGATAAGTATATTTGCTATCCTCTTGCCTATCTTTCCTTCTCCACACAGAGTCACCGCTTCGCAAGACAGGCACAAGAACAAAGCCAATTGCAGCCGGCCATTGGAATGACTATCTCCAAGGTCTCCTCCTCTCTGGCTTCTCTGATTCTAAATACTTGTGTAACTCTTCATCTGATCTTCAAGTGCCAGACCACATGTATGTTGCAAACGAAATCAATCAAATTAAGAATTCTAAGATTTTAGAGCCAAAAGCAGAGACAAATGAGATGACAGCATTGTGTCATGGGTGATCTGTGGGAAGATCCCCTTCAAACCAAGGCGAAAATTACTGTCCTCCAGACACAAAGCCCGTAGCAGCAGCTGCCCTGCATGACAGCACCATGGCCTGGAGTCCTTTCCTATCCAGGGCCCTGATCCATGCAGTAGGGAGGGGTGGGTAGAGATCCATGTAGGCTCACAGGGCAAGCAGAGGGTCCAAAAAGACGGGTTGGGGGGAAAAGGCTATAAGGAAGAGGAAAAGGATTCATCTAAGGCTGAAGTAAAGGAGGCATCATCTCCACTGGCTTGTCAGCCCCAAACCTCACTGGCCCATTTGTTTCTAGTGAGCATTGCTGAACCACCCCCTCACTTGGCAAGCACATATTCATCCCCAAGGCCACTTTCGTATCACTGGTCTATTAAGCCCATGAATTTAAAGAATTCTCACTGGAATCCATTAGGGGCCTCATCACTTTTTTCCCCCGCTTCAGCCAGTTTCTAATTTAGACCTGCCTGGAACTCTGGTTTGTCAGCATCTCTGGTTATTTTAACCTACTCTCCAATTTTGCAAAATTTGCTTATCTACATTGACTGTTAGCTAGAATGGCACTTCCTGGCTCACATGGGATGCTTTTCGGGAGTGAGGGGTGCTTTCTACTTCAGATTAATCTTTTGAAAGCCACGTTGCATCTGTGCTTTTTAAGAGTGTCTTGAGCCCCTACATCCCCGACCCCTATATATTTCCAAATTGTGAGTTGAAGGCTGCTGGCTGCCCTCCCCACCCCTGACTTCCTTTAATGCGCAGACCACACACACACACTCTTACAGAGTGGTGGGCACTAGGGTGGCTGCCATCCAAGACTGCTCGATAGATAAGATTAGAATGTTCAAAGTAAAGGATGATGGGGCCACACTAGATTAGGTGAGGTACCCGGAGGCAACTTCCCCATTTGACAGAGCTCCAGTGCCTGGGACAGTGGGGTCCTGGAGACCAGTTTACCACTTCCAGGCTGTGTGACATCAGGGACTTAAACCTGCTTCCTTACTCAGATGGAATTTGTCATGCTCACATAACCTTCTGTATGTAAAACACCTAACACACAGCAGGCATTTGGCCAGCGTGAGTCCCCTCAATTCCCTTCTCTCTTCTAGTGTGCCATGTGCCCTGCCCCAAAGTCTGCACACAAGAGCTTGCTAGGGCAGGTCACCTACCTACCTGCTAGATATTTCGACAGGATCCTCAATTAACCTGGCAATTTCTGAAAAGCTCAGTGCTATGATTTATTATACTTGGGGGCATTTGCAATTTAACTGACTTACTATCTCGAAAGGAAGAGAGACACAAACATGACTACAGTGTGATAAAATGCTGTTCGAAGCGCTTCCTGTTCATTGACTCAATGCTTTGCCCAAACTACTATTATCCCCACTTCACAGATGAGAAAAGAGGTTACCTGACTTGCTGATGTCACAAGGCCAATAAAAGGGACAGCCAGGGAGTCTGGCTCCAAATTCAATCACTACTGGATATTGCAAATAGTTACCTTTGTTTTTTGTTTAATATTTTCAGATATATAGATCACTTAAAGCAAAATTTCCATGAAATCACTTCATAGCAAAGAACCAATCTATTCCGGCCTTCAGCTAGAAAGTGTTTTTAACACAGGAATCACCAATGAAGCTTTAACATTCTGTATTAAGATTTATTCCATGAGTGAGTTTTACTACAAAGACTAAACTGTATACCTCATTGCCCTAAAATCTAAGACACACTTAAGGTTTATCATATCTCTTGCAGCCATCTGTCCTGTCACTGTCGTAGGAATTTTAGGAAACTCTTTTATTCAGTCTAGGACATTTACATTGTAGGAGTTAGCACTGACCTGATCTCTTTTACTAAAAAAGTAATCTAGAATACTCACATTCCAACGTATATTCTTTATATGATTCAACATATTTCCATGTTGCCTAGATTGCTATTACATGGTGGTTAAGAGCATGAGTTCTGAGTAAGACTAATCTGGATAGAAATCCTGGTGCCACCATGTGGGTGAGATTGGGACTGTGGTCAAATTGCTTAACTTCTTTAGGCCTCAAGTGCGTCATCTATAAAATAGAAAGCCTTCATGAACGCTTTCTGTGAGGATGAGATGTTTAGCATACACAAGTGCCATTTGCTCTCCACTTCAGCTTTGTCTGTTCTCACTGCTGCTATGACAGTAAGGCCCAGTGGTTCTCGTTCTCTCTCCCTACTCCTCTCTCTCATACACATATCTATTTTCTGAGAGTCTCTGTGGCACAGGAAAATGAGCACCAAATTTTGAATCGTTTAAACCTGAACCCCAGGTTTGACTGTGAGTCTGTTTCCATGAGTGAGAATGAGAGACTCCCCTACCCGATTCTAGCCCCAGATGCCACAAGGATGAACTATGTAGGAGGACCTAGCACCGGTCCATGAAATGTGCTAATGAGCATTCTTATCATTTGTCCTAGGCATTGGAGGAATTCAGAGTACAAGGGAAAAAGTTTGTTCACTTTTAGACAAGGTTTGACAACCTGCCTCAAAGAAAAGCATTGGCACAAAGTAGACAAGTGACCAAGGCAGAGTTAGGGAGGGGCTGCTGGGAGCACATGGGAAATGGAATGTATGAATCCTGTTTGTTAGCTGGAGCCTGAATGTGACACTTGCATTGCTCTGCTCTGGGATGCAGGAGAAAAGGGCAAATGTGAGCCGTGGGGGAGGTTGGGCTGAAAATGCTGTTTGTTGCCAAGGAAACATCAGGAACAATTTGTAAGGCTAGGGTACTGCTTTCAGGGACTCTTTGAGAACTAAATCTGTTCTCTCCTTGAGTTTCCTACAGTCTCCAATTGTGCCGAGACTATTTATTACACACCAGCACTGCCAATGCAGAAGAAATGTGTGCACACATGTCAACAGCACTCACTGTTAACAAGCAAGGAGGATACAAACCACATGGCTTCCAAGCATGCAGTGCTTCGATGTTGTAATTTCACCTGCTAAATAAAGTAACCTAGAAAGCCTGGCCACTCAAGAAAGACGTGTTATGAGAGTGGCAGCCACACAATGCTGCTTCTTTTTGAAAAGCTCGATGCTCAAACAGGAGGCTGACAGCATTCAACAGGAGTCCCAGAACACTGATGAAGGCGATCAGAACCCTCTAACGCTAATCAATAATACTAGAAGAGTTAATTTCTCAGCTGATGCAGCCCTTATATACAAACTCATTTGTAACCCATGGAGGTGGAGAGATTTAATAACTTTTAGCTAGGATTATTAATAAAGCCAGTTTAAACCAAAAATCAGGTTTAATTTTACTTACTACCCTGATATTTGGTAGAAAGACTCCATTTCCTTAGCGATAATAAAACAGAAGAAAATACAAAGGCTTGATCACCGACAAAAAAAAATGCACCCCTGAAGAGCGACCTGTAATTTGTGGTGGGGCTAAGCATTCAATTTGGTCTGAGTGGTGGCTGCTTTTGAAATAATTTGTTCTTTTACCACATACTCTATGATAACTCTAAATCTTAAAGTGAACGAAAAGTCTGTTAAAATAACCAAGAAGGTACACACACACACACACACACACACACACACACACACACACACCCCCACCCACACCCACTCCCCCTCTCTCTCTCTCTCTCTCTCTCTCTCTCTCTCTCTCTCTCTCTCTCTCTCTCTCTCGGAAATGCAATAGCTCAGAGTGCGTCCTTGGGTTACTTAGTAAACGTTCTGGAATAAAGGTCAAGCAAATGCCTTTTGGTGGGCAGCTAACCTCAAGAGGAAGCACTTCTGTGACATGGCGGTTAAGGCTTGCTCATATGATAAATCAGGTCTCTGTGGAGACCTGACAAATCGGGAGTCTAATGAGATTGTAGAAATGGCCTATACAAATGGAGCCATGCGTTTCTCCAGACTAGATTCCACTGTGAAAAATATCACATTTAATACAAAATAAATGTGCTAATCCGAGGGAAGCACAATTACTTTATATGTTATGAAATTACAAAGTTGGGTAAAGTTATCCACATCTCCAGGCATTTGTCTCGAATGGATTTTCAAGCTTTAACACAGATATATGTTCTTAGCTTAGGATAAGAATTCTTATTTTTGAGTACAAAATCCTCTATTGATCACATAAAAATATCCTGAAATGAAAACCTTTGAAAGCTGGTAACATGTTGAGGATGCAAGGCGCAAACAAAATATACAAATGTGCACAAAATAATTGAGGATTTCGTTCAATTTTAACATTTCACAGGACCCGTGAGCGTGAATATATTCACCAGAATTCAGGGAGAAGTCTGCTGAGGAACTGGCATACTTTGACTTACAGTTTAAGCAATGGAAACTCATTTCTCTTCTAGCCTTGACTTCCGGGAAGTTCATGAGTCAAATTTTACACCTGAAAATAACGTGTTCACCCTTCCTTACATTTTTATTGATCTTGATTTTCTCCCCTTTCTTTTCATAGTTTATTAACAATATTGTATATGTCCTTTCTTGCTTAGCATGCTGCTTCAAAATCTTTTGGGAAAGAGGCTAGGTATAAGTACATTTCAAATACAGATCAAAAAAACAAGCAAATATTGCAATTTCTTCTAGGATATAAAAGAGAGTATCTTTGCTCTTAATCAAAAAACAGTATTTCAGAATTACCTCAAGTAAGATATCATACACCTAGATTTAACAATAGCAGTCCTGAGCTCATTAAGAAGTCCCCAATTCCTTGATTTTACCAAGAACAGACATATTCCCTGAATATAATTTTAGTCATCTTCATTAGTTTCCATTGGAGCTCTGGGCTGAGATTAGAAGTTGTGTGTGTGTGTGTGGCTCTAGGACCCCAGGTCAATCATTAACACCTAATTACCTTAGTTTCCCCCTTCATAGCAGGGCAACTACTACTTCCTCTACACCACAAACCTCGTTATGATGAGGTAAATGCAGACCTGCTCTTAGAAGTAAAACTGTGGCATAAATGCAAGATATTACTATCATACACATTACAGGCCCATGTGATTCTTTCCAAATTCATAGTTTCTTTGGAAACAACAAGATAGAGGCAGGGAAATTTACTATAAACACTCAGAGATGCATGTTCCAAATAATGAAAGAAAGCATTTCTATGCATAAAACGTTATTTATACCTGTTTTCATTTTCTTTACATTAAGATGTAAACAGCCTCTTTTCCAAAAAAGCTGGTGAAAAAACAAACAAACAAAACCAAAAAAAAATTAAGCCTTTAAAGATAGCTGGTGAGTTTTCAAGTGTCCTTGATGAATGGATCCAAATACCAAACATTATAACTCAATAATTCAGTGATAAAGAGAACCAAATTGAGCTATAAAATATCTATAGCAAAATCGCAATTAACCAGAATGTTCCAACTTCCTGGTTAACTGACTATTTACAAGAAAACTGTTCTCATTTTAACCATTAGTTTAGAAAAACCTTTCTAAACTGAGCCACTTCACTTTCCTGGCTCAGTAAGTACAAAATGCCAAACATTAGTCAATTTTATTTTGCTGATTTAGGATCATGTGGTACCTTGGGGTATCTCTCAGAACGTACATAATTTCTGTGCAGTTTTGCCTGAGGCAGAAAATTGGAGTAAATTGGAGCTTCTTATTTTAAATAAATCCCTGATATCATAAGCTTATTATCTTCTTTTTGCCTCATTCTCCTAAAAGGAGAGTGTAGCAAAAAAAAGTCCTAGTTAAGCAAGATTTTATAGTTGTCAACATACCTACATATGTATATTCATTCAGGCAAACAAGGCAGCTCAATGATTTTACTCCTCTGGACTATTTCTTCTGTTTAATAAATATATCCTATAACATGAATTACATGTAATGGGTCCACTGTTTCTTCTAGATATCAAATTTTAGTACCTTATGAATTCCTTGTTTACAATCTTTCCTTTAAAAAACAAAAGGAAATCATGCATGAAGGTGACTTCCAAAACCAGCAGAGTTGTACATTTTGCTAATGAAATCAAAACTATGCTTCCTATATTAATTCGTAACTCTTTGAACAATTTTTATAATGTTATCAAAAAGCAAGTAAGCTCTAAGATACTGGGTGCTTCACTCCTCAACCATGAAATAAGAGTTGCTGGGAGAAAAGTCACCTTCTGATATCTCAGTACAGTTCAGATTCCATACCACCAGTGGCACACAAGATGATTTTAGGTGGTACACAACTAAATTAGACAATACTGAATCACAGTGAGAATGTCATTCCCTTTATATATATATAATATATATATATATATTTTATCCTCCTGATAATTCCACAGAGAGATCCCTATTTGGTGCTGGGTAGCACCTCTCTTGCTGCAACATGTAAAGAGCAGGCTTCTGGGATTCAGAGCCTTGGCAGGCATTAGCATTTGGCTAGAATTTAGTAACATTTTTTGTTTTATTTATTTTGTAGTTACCTTTTATTTATGGCAAACTGATGCTGGGTTTCCACTCAGAAGAATTAGTTCCTTTTTAAAATATTTAAAAATTTAAAAGACAAATATTAAGTAAATAACAGTACATGTAGTTCTCAAGTGATTAAAGTTTGAGAAACGAGCTATTAGTTAGTCTAATAAATCATATTTTTAAGTGATTTCAAAAGAAACTACCAACGTAGTCTAGAAAGGAAACATATGTCACTCTATTTTCAATACTTGTGATGTTCCAGAGATGAGCTCACCAAAGCCTCTCCTACATCAGGTGATTCCCAGAGTTAAGATTCAAGCAAAAATATAAAAGGAAAAAGAACCAATTCCATACCATCCTGGACTTGATAAACTCATGGTACCATAAATGTGCAAATAATCTGATATTTAGCAAGTAATGTTTTAAACATAAATTTTCTAATTTACTACAGCATCTTTTTATTTGGTCTATACTAATGCCTCACAAAGGCAAACCCAGGTTGTAGAGTTCCTGCTTAATCCTCGAAAGATCAATATTTTTTGATTGAACTCTTCAGTGAGGATTCAGGAATGCTGGTCAGGTCTTCCAATGGCATCTGACTCTTCTCCCACTTTTACAGTCCTGCAGAGAGAAGTCTTCTCTTCTGAGTAAAAATCCTCATGGCTGGCATTCTTCTGAGAGGAGTTTGCCTAGCAGATATTGCATGCTCACAGGCATGCCATGCTGACTTAAAACAAAAAGGACAGTTGGAGAGAAAGAAAGCAGAGCTTCTTGTTTGCGGTGAACAGTTTCTTCATCACAGTGGCAGTTAAGATATGCTCCCTCCTTTTCCCCAGACGTCAAGGCAGTAAGTCTGAAGGATGGTGTCAGACATCATAATCAGGAGCCTTACCCTGGGCTTGTCTTAGCCAGATCTGTAGTGTAACAAATGCTCCCACAGTCACGTGAAAGAAAAGCTGCCAGAGGTTGCGAAGTTCATAGAGATACATGTTGCATAGACAGATTAGGCCAAAAGTCAAAAAAGATTTGACATTCCGCCAGCCGGTATAGTAGACAAGTAAATAACACTGTTCAAAATATAAAAATGAGAGATGATTAGGGTTATAGGAAAAGGAAAAGATGCTTCTGCTATATAATTGTAACAGGCTACAGAGTAAAAAATGAGAGTGGAATAAGGGGATTTTTCATCTAAAGATAGATAATGTAACATCGAGATACTCAGCTATGAAAGCTCCACAGCTTGAAAGGAAAATAGGCTTTTCATGTTTTTCATTTTTCAAAAGAAAAAATATTTTCTATCATATTCAAAATGGAGGAATAATTGGATGACTCCCTAGCAAATAGGCTGGACATTCCTCAAGTGACAGGAAACCGAGAATCATTCTCAGAGTCTGACAGTTCTATCTCTCATTTTCACATCAGGAAAGTAGAAAAAGCTCAAATAAGTCATTTAGCAAAACGGACTCTTCTATAACTGAATATGAATATTACTGAAACCAACAAATATTTACTGATCTCCCATTCAGTGCAATGAATTAAGCTAGCAGGATCTGAGTGAAGATTTGAGGGAGAAATCATTCATCGGATGTTTATTGAGAGCCTGCTATAAGTCAGGCATTGTTCCCTAGTATTAAGTAAACAAATAAAAGCCTTGTTCACTTGGAGCTTACATTCTAGTGGAGAGAAAAAGATTACAAACATTTTATACATATAATATCAAATAGTTGTGTCCTGAAAAAGATAAAACAGAAAAAGGGGACAGAGAATGCAATGAGAACTATCTTGGAAGATACAGTAAAGAAAGTACTCCCCCTATCTACCCTAAGGCATTTGCCTTTTCCTGCTTCATTTTTCCTCCCATATTATAAACATACTTTAAAAATGTTTATTTTGTCATCTATATTCTTCCGATAGAATCAAAGCTTCATGAGAGGTTTTTGTTTTGTTCACTCATTTATCTCCAGTGCCCAGAATGGTGCCTGATACATAAAAGTACGCATTAAAAATTTGTTGAATGAGCTGTTTTCTAGAAGGTATCTAAAATTCTCAGTCTGGTAAAACTGGAATTATATGTGATCACAAAGTCTTATGAAAGAAGCAGAGGTCTCTGTGTGGAATTGTATCCAGCCTTCAGTACTGGAAGGGTGTTTGCCACAATGCAGAAAGAATGTGGAAATGTTCAGTTAAATGTGTTTCATTCATGTAGAAATGAGGACTTTGTTTACTTAAAAGGAAGACTGCTATCCAAGCAAAATGAATGGGAAGCACTTTTTTTTTTTACCTAAGTTATATGCATTGTGTATTTTTTTTTTTTTTTTTACCTAAGTGATATGCATTGTGTAAAAAAAAAGTTGAAAAAAATAACCTTTTCTTTTGAAATAATCTGACTTAGAAAAGTTGCAAAAATAGTAGACTTCCTGTATACCCTTCACCCTGCTCCCCCTAATGTTATCCTCTTATAAAACCATAGTATAATCATCAAATAAGGAAATGAACATTGATACAATATTATTAACTAATCTACAGACTTTATTTTGCCAGTTGTCCCACTGAGGCCCTTTTTCTAGTCCAGAATCCAATCCAGGATTCTATATTGCATTTAGTTGTCATGTCTCTGCAAATCTGTAATAGCTCTTTAAGTCTTTGTTTTTCATGACCTTGAAATTCTTGAACAGTACTGATCAGAATGTCCTTTAATTCTGGTTTGTCTGATATTTTCTCAAGATTGAAGTGAAGATGCAGTTTTGGTGAGAATACCACAGAGGTGATAAGCAAGATGTCTTATTGCTGATGATGTTAACTCTGATCTCCTGGTCAGGTGGTGTCTGACAGGTTTCTCCACTGTGAAGTTACTATTTTTCTCTTTGTAATTAGTATCTTGCAAGAGGGAAAATAAAGACATTCTCAGGTGGAAGAAGACTAAGAGAATTTGTCGCCTAGAGATGTACCCTAAAAGAATGGCTAAAGGAAGTTCTCTAAATAGAAAGGAAACAATAAAAGAAGAAACCATGGAGAAACCATGGAACACTGGGACAGCAAAGAGAACACAGTAAGGAAAACTATAGGTAAATATAATGGATTCTCTTCCTCCTCTTGAGTTTTCTAAATTATGTTCAATAGCTGAAGTAAAAATTATAGCACTGTTTGGTGTGATTCTAAATATATGTAGGGGAAATATTTAAGACAATTATATTATAAATAGAGGAGGGCAAAGGGACATAAAAGGGACATACAGTTTCTATGCTTCGCCTGAATGGGTAAAATGACAACATCAGAAAACTGCGATAAGTATATATAAATGCAATACCATTTAAAAAGCTGTTCAAAGAGATATACCCCAAAACACTCTTAGATAAATAAAAATGGAGTTCTAACAAAAATGTTCAAGTAACCCACAGGAAGATAGGAAAAAGAAAACATAAAAATTGAAAATAGAAAACAAAAAATAAGATGGCAGATTTAAGTGGTAACAGTAATAATTACATTAAATGTAATGGCTTAAATACAGCAATTAAAAGATGGAGATTAGTAGAGTGGGTTTAGAAACCTAAATCAACTCTGCTGCCTAGCAGAAACTTACTTCAAATGATATAGGCAAGCTGAAAGTAGAATGATAGAAAAGGATATAGCATGCAAACAATCAAAATAAAGGAGTGCCCACATTAATATCAGATAAATATAAAAAACATTTCTAAGAAAATAACCAGGGACAGAGAGGGATATTACCTAATGATAAATGGATCAATCCACCAAGACGACATGCCAATCCTAAATGTGTATGAACCAAAAAAAGAGCTACAAAATACACAAAACAAAAACTAATAGAACAGAAATGGGAAATACACAAATCCACAATTATAGCTGAAAACTTCAATACCCCTCTCTCAACAACTGATAGAACTAGAGAGAAAATCACCAAGGATACAGAAAAAAACACCATCAACCAAAAGAATCTAATCAACATTTATAGACCATTCACTCAACTACAGTGGAATACATGTTCTGTTCCAGCGTGCCTAGAATACTAAGATAGACCATATTCTGGGCCATAGAATAAACCTCAATAAATAGAAAAGAACTGAGATGAGAGTGTGATTTCCAACCGCAATGGAATCAAACTATAAATCAATAATAGAAAGAAAATTTGAAAATCTCCAAATATTAGGAAACTAAACAACATAATACTAAGTAATCCATAGGTCAAAGAGAAAGCCACAAGGAAAAAAATTTTTTAATACACTGAATTAAATGAAAATAAAAATACAACATATCAATATTTATGGAATGCAGATAATGAAGTGCTAAGAGGGAAATTTATGACACAATCTACATATTAAAAAAGAGAAAATTCTCCAATTGATTATCTAAGTTCCCAAGAACCTAGAATAAGAAGAGCCAGATAACCCAAAGCAAGTATGAGGAAGGAAATAATAAAGGTAAGAGCAGAAATCAATAAAATTGAAAATAGAAAACAAACAATAAAACAACAGGTTTTTTAAAAGACCAATGAAATTAACAAGACTGACAAAAAAAGATACAAATTACCAGTATGAGAAATGACACAGAATATCACTACAGATCCTACAGACATCAAAAGGACAGTAAGAGGACACTGCAACCAACTGTGCACAGGAATCTGATAACAGATGAAATGGACCACTATGTCTTAAAACACATACTACCACAATTCATGTATTATGAAACAGATAATTTGAGTAGCTCTATAACTATTAAGAAAATGGAATTTAATAAATATTATATAGCTACAGTAATCGAACTATGTGGTACTGGCAGAGGGACAGACACATAGATCAATGGGGCAGAATACAGAACCCCAAAATAGACCCACACGAATATGCCCGACTGATGTTTGACAAAGATGCAAAACCAACTTGGTGAAGAAAAAATAGCCTTTTCAACAAATGGTGCTAGAACAATTGGCCATCTGACCACAGGCAAGAAACAACAAAAAACCCTCAATCTAATCTAAGTCTCACATCTTATACAATCTTATACAAAACTTAATTCAAAATGAATCATGAACTTATATGTAAAACACAGAACAACAAAACTTTTAGAAAAACAGAGGAGAAAATCTTCAGCATCTAGGGATAGGAAAAGAGTTATTAGACTTGACAACATAGCATGATTCATAAAATGAAAAACTGATATAATGAATTCTATCAAAATTAAAACTTTTTGCTCTGCAAAAGACTCACTTAAGAAGATGAAAAGATAAGCTACACGCAGGAGAAAGTATTTGCAAACTACGTATCTAGAATATATAAAGAATTCTCAAACTAGACACTAAAAAACAAACAATCCAATTAGAAAACAGGCAAAGAACATGAATGGACATTTCACCCAAGAGGATATACAGATGACATAAAGCTTATGAAATGATGTTCAACATCATTAACCATTAAGTAAGTACAAATTAAAACCACAGTAAAGTATTATGACATATCTATCAGAATGGCTAATGAAATATAGTGATGACACCAAATGCTGGAAAGGCTGTGGAAAACTGGATCACTCACACATGCTGGTGGGAATGTAACATGGTATGCCACTCTAGAAAATAGTCTGTCTGTCTCCTAATAGAATTTAAGCATGCAACTATCACATGACCTAGCAACTGCACTCCTGGACATTTATCTCAGAGAAAGGAAGACTTCTCTTCACACAAAAGCCTGCATGTGAAGGTTTATAACAGCTTTATTTACAACAGCCAACAACTGGAAAGAACTCAGATGCCCTTCAATGGGTGAATGATTAACTATGATACATCCACACCATGGAATCCTATTAAGCAATAAAAAGGAACAAACCACTGATACATGCAACAACCTGAATAAATCTCCAAAGAATTACACTGAGTAAAAAAACTCCAGTCTCAAAAGGTTTCACACTACATGGTTCCATTTATATAATGTACTTAAAATGAGAAAATTATAGAAATGAACACATTAGTGGTTGCCAGAGATTAAGGAGCAGGAGGGAAGTGGATATGGCTATAAAAGGGCAACTTGAGGGGTTCTTGTAATAGGAATGTTCAGTATCCAGTATCTTGACTGTATCAACATCAATATCCTAGTTGTGATATTGTATTATAGTTTTGCAAGATGGCACCTTTGGGGGAAACCAGGTAAAGGTTATATAGGATCTCTCTTACAACTCCATGTGAACCTATAATATTCTCGAAATAAAAGTTTAATAACAAAAGCAACTTTACACATACATATTTGTCTGCAACTTTATAAAGTTAAATTACACACTATATGAACACACATAAAGAGAGAAAAAAACCAAGTGTTCTAAATGTTAACAATTGGTGACTCTGAGAACTCTGTTATAAGTCTGCAGGTTTTCAAAATAAAACGTTGAGGGAAAAGGAATAGTCTCTAGTTTCTATATCTTTTGGTTATTACTTGGAATTGCCAATATTGAGATTACTCATATCTGGTGGAGTTCTGTGCCTTCTTAAGTACCCATAGCCTGGAGAAAAAAGCAACAGACCATGTGGTAGTGGCCTTTGAGGTATGATCTAAAGGGAATTAAAAACATCCTGATGACTGGAGATAGAGCATTTCATATGGTAATACACAATAACTTAAGTTTTACTGTGAAAAAAACAAGCATTACCAATCTACTCAGCATATTTGGAAAGCATGAAGTTCTATGCCTGTCAATGGGAAGAAAAATAGTTCTTTGCTTTTTTTAGGCATGAATTTGCTTACTTCTCTCAAGTATAAGAACACCTGCTCCACCACGAGGCAACTGTTAGAACTTCTTTGAGTTGTTAAGGGAAATGTAACAGAGGTGTGCTTATCTATAGGCAACAACACTGGCTCTGGAACCATACAGCGCTGGATTCAAGTCACTGCCTATAACTGTGTAGGCCTCAGTGAAAAATGATGATGCTAATAAGATTAGTGTGTGACTCTCTGAGGATTTAATCCATTTACCATTTACCTGGAGAATACTTGCCGGTGGTATTTGTGGCTGCAGCATTTACCTCCAGACAACTAATGGATTACAGTCCTAACCTTATTCCCAAAGTTTGCCATGAAATATCTTGATTGTATTATTATTTTTGCATCACTCTAGTATATCGATAGTCTTTGGAAACAAATGACATCATTCCATTTACAGCATTTTGTTTTTAGTAATGGTATTTCTATTTACACACTATCATAATTCTCAATGGCTGAAAATGTCAAATCCTAGAAAATGTAGTATTCCTACACGTGATACTAAATTAATGCTGGCAGCAAGCTGCACTTTTTATTCTAAATGGGAAAAGGGTTAATGGTACAAGAAATGTAAAGGGCTTAGCACAAAGTAGAGCTCAATATATTTTGCTATTATTATTAGCATTTAAAATTATTTCATTAAAGTAAAACAGCCAAAAGAACATTTTATGACAATAATTACTCATGAAATTATTTTAAAGTTAATATTTACCTCACATTACTTTAAAATTATGACGTACTATAAGTTATAAAATATTTTATATCATAAAAATTATATAAATACAGGAATTTTGCTTAGAAGACATCAAAATATGGTGAAATGAATACAATATTTAAAATCAGAAGACTCAGAGTTAAGTCCTGACTCCACCACTTAACAGGCTATGTGATCTCTGGACAATACTGAAACTGCCTCGGATTTCTCATTTTCAAAAATTAGATTTAAAAAATTAGATAATATTCCATGCAACAGGATTGTAGAGATTAAAGTTCAGAAAATCTACACAAGAATACTTCATAATGTTAAAGCACTTGTGACATTAGCAAATACAAGTTTTTACATTCCTGCATGAAATGTCATTCGTTATAATTAAACATTGAATTTGACAGAAAAACAATTTCTGAAGATAATATAAATGATTAAGAAAAATTAGGGGATTTTAAAAATAGGGTCACTGAAATTTTTCTTCTTTTTCTTCCCCCTCCCACAGGCTCACGGCGTGCACCCGGGGCACTTTGGCGCACTTGGGTTGTCTGGTGAATCTCAATGGCTGAAACCGTGGCTCCACCGCGGGGGCGAACCCAGGACCTTCTGCATGTAAAGCAGAAGTGCTAACCACTACACTATGGAGCCACTCCTGTCACTGAAATTTTTAATACATCTTTACATAAAAGACAAATGTACATGTTCAAAATATTTTACCAGAGACCTCAGAGTTTTAGGTAGCCCTATATTTTCAGTCCTGAATCTAACTTTTTTAAATGCAAACCAGAGACTTGTGTTTCTTATGAAAGCTAGATTAAAAGGTTCTAACATGTTTTAGCAAAGATATCCTTTAATTTGGGTAACTGAGATGGTTACCTCTCCCTTCCCTACAAATTGGTGCCTCCTCTCTTCCTGGAAATATGAGTATCCATCTCGCTATCACCTAGTACAAACCCTCCTAAGTTTCATATCTATTCTGTCAAGTCTAGCAGTCTTCCTTCTCAATGTCCTTTTCATCTGCATCCCTACTGGCATTATTATAGTTTAGGCTCTCATTACCTTCTGCCTGAAGTAATGGAATCACCTCCCAACTAATTTCCTTGCTTCTAATCCTTCTGCTCTGACAATCCATCCTATTATCACTGCTAAATTAAATATTCTAAAATCCTACTTTTGCTATTTCCTATTCAAGGATTATCCCAAAAGTACAAAATACTCAGCCTGGAGTATAAACAGAGTCTAGAAGCTGAATAACCAGTTGCCACAAAATCTAGAAATAGCCTTTACTGCCATAGGCAGATGACATGTTGCCAGTGAAGCCCAACACAGGACAGAATTAACATTAAGTTCTCTGGGATCTATGTCCACCCAAAATGGAGATGTAGGTCACAAAGGTAACAGAGGATCAAATTAAAAGAGAGGCAAAGTACTCAGACAACGGCAATGATTAGAACTGATATCTGGAACAAACAATAATGTAAAAGTGTTTCCTAAAAATAGGACAGAACCTACCTGGTAAAGGCAGGCTGCTGTTCCAAGGAAAAATGCAATGATGTAATTAAAATCCTCACCATCGCTCTGCAAAAACAAAATAAGAAATTACTTTTTTTCTTGTAGAAGCCTATTTCCAAAAACAATCCATTGGGATAGGACATAAAAACGTTTATACGCAAATGGTCAAATTCTTCACAAAGTGGTGTATAAAATTCTCAAGTCCTAAAAGGGAAACATAAAATGTAGCATAAGAACAAAGGAGTGTGAGGTATAGGAAAACCACCAGTCTTCTTCTATGTTTTGGCCTCCCTATAATTTCATTTTACCCAAGAGAAGATGAAAGTCACTGGGAAAAAATTTCCATATAAAAGCCTCTCTTATCTCTACTGAAGAAACCACATAAAAATGTACAACAACCCAGTTGGCCTATAGTTAGTCCTGCTCAAAAGGGTCACTACTTGACTCAAATAAATAGACAAACTTTACTATTTAGTAAGGATATCACTGAATTGTCCAATAAAATCACTTGACATGGTGTGAAAAAGAAAATAAACAATAAAAACCACAACCTGAAAAGTCCACTAGAGTGTGCTAAATCCCAAAAAGTTAATCATACATACTGAGCTAGAAAAACATCATGCATAGAATATTTCTTTTAAAAGAAAACTAATAGAAACATGTAACAGCTCATGTTTTTCTATTCCTTTTTGATTCCTCTTAAGTATTGGTATTTGTTATTTCTTTCAATGTTTTTGTAAAGTAGAACATAAAGCCCACCAGGAGCATTCAATTTCTTTCTTCCAGGGAGGAGCATTAAATTTGGCCCTTATTTTAGAAAAAAATATCTGTATACAGTAAAAATTTCCACAAGACCTGGCAGTGTCCCTCGTGACCAGGTCTTCATGAAATAATAGAGAAAATTCCTTTTCCACTTGCTATTGGGCAACAGAACTGACTGTGAGGCAGAGGGGGAGTAGCTTACCTAAGCGAGGTGACCTTAAAACAGAAAACATTTAT